GTAGTTGGGGACTTACTGGTATCGGGTCGAGTGGGAGTGCTAGCAGCAGGAGTGTTGGTGGTGCGGATGAAAGCAGTAGCATCAGCAGCGCCATTAGCAGCGGTGGGAGCAGTGCTGAGATTGAGGACTGGGTGCCGCCGAAGCATTTTCGTAAGGTTATGTCGATCAAAATGGTGAAGAAAGATTTGCTTCGGCAAGCGGGGAGCAGCCGGGCAGTAGTGACGAGGCTCAGCGGGGGGGTTGGAGGCGGTATTGGGGAGTTCAGAGCGACAGGAGGGAGGGAGCTGAAACGAACAGAGGTTATGCATGTGAAAGGGGGGTCTGCAAGGGACGCAGGAGGGGAAGGACAGGGGGGCATCGCTCAAACAGAAGACGTTGGGTTTGGGCGATCAGCAAGGGTGGCAGGAGAGGGGCTTGGGGGGATAGCTAGGTCGGCAGAGGAGCGAATTGGGGGATCAGCTAGGGAGGCAGGAGAGGCAGCAGCGGGCAGATTGCTTGGATCAAGCAGCCTGCCAGGGCAAGGGCAGAGCAAAGGGGAAGAACAGAGGCAGGGGTTAGAGAGCCCGAGCAGTCAACAACGCAGCCCTACAGTGGCTCCTATGAAGCCTGTTGTGCAGAGGAAGAAAATCAGCTTCTATCTGTCGCCTGTGATAGAGCCAAACGGTCCGGAGGAAAGCTCGACTAGCTCGGGGCTGGATCTGGGAGGAGGAGCAGCAGAGGCAGCAGCAGCGGCGGAGGCAGCAGCAGCGGCAGAGGCAGCAGCAAAGGCAATGGCAGCAGCGAAAGCAGAGGCAGAAGCATTCGCTGAGGCAGCAGCAAGGGCAGAGGCAGAAGCAGCAGTTGAGGCAGCAGCAAAAGCAGAGGCAGCAGCAGAAGCAGAAGCTGCAGGAGTAGTGACGGCGGCAGCGGCAGAAGCAGCAGCAGAAGAGGCCACAGCAGGTGCCGAAGCAGCAGCGGCAATACAGGCCGAAGCAACAGCAGTGGCTGCAGCAGCGGCACAGGCAGCAGCAGCAGCTGAAGAAGCAGCAGCAGCAGAGGCTGCAGCGAGATCAGTGGCTGCAGAAGCAGACTTAGTAGCAGCGGAAGAGGAAACAGCAGCAGCCGAGGCAGTGGCAGGAGTTGCACAGGCTGCAGCAGTAGCAGAGGCTGCAGCAGCAGCAGAAGCATCAATAAAGGCAGAGGCTGCAGCAGAATCAGAAGCTGCAGGTTCTGAGGCAGCAGTGGCGGAAGAGGCAGTAGAAGCTGCAGCAGCGGCCGAGGCAGCAGCAGCAGCAGAGGCAGCGGCAGCGATACAAGCTGTAGCAGCAGCTGAGGCTGCAGCAGCGGCAGAAGCAGCAGCAGCAGCGGAGGCAGCAGAGACAGCAGTAGCAGCAGAGGCTGGAGCAGCAGCGAAGACAACAGCAGAAGCTGACGAAGCAGTAGCCTCAGAAGCTGCAGCAAAATCAGAAGTTGCCAGTACAGAGGCCGCAGCAGCGACAGAGGCAGCAGAAACAGCGGCAGCAGCAGAGGCAGAAGCAGCTTCAGCTGCAGCAGAGGCTGCAGCAGAAGCAGAGGCAGCAGCAGAAGCACAAGCAGCAGTAGCAGCAGAGGCTGCAGCGGCGGCAGAGGCAGCAGAGGCAACGGCAGCAGCAGCAACAACAGAGGCCGCAGCAGCAACAGCAGCAGCAGCAGAGGCAACAGCAGCGGCAGAGGCGGCAGCATCAGCAGAGGCCGCCACTGCAGCAGAGGCAGCAGCTGAAGCAGCGGCGGCTGCGGCAGCATTGGAAGCAGCAACAAATGCAGAAGCTGCTGCAGCAGCAGAAGCAGAGGCAGCAGCAGCAGCAGCAGAAGCTGCCGCAACAGCAGTGGCAGAAGCAGAGGCAGCAGCTGCAACAGAGGCAAAGGCGGCAGCAGAGGCAGCAGAGGCAGCAGCAGCAGCACAAGCTGAAGCTGCATCAGCTGCAGAAAACGCTGCTACTGCAGAGGCAGCAGCGGTGGCAAAGGCAACTGAGACCGCCGCAGAGGCCACAACAGCAGCACTGGCTGCAGCAGCAGCAATAACAGTGGCAACTGCGGCGGCAAAGGCATCAGAATCTGCAGCAGTGGCAGAGGCAGCGGCAGAGACGGTGGCAGCCGAGACAGCAGTAGCAGCAGAGGCTGCGGCAGAAGCAGAGGTTGCAGCAGCAGCAGAAGCAAAGGAAGCAGCTGCGGCAGCAGAGGCAGCAGAAGCGGCAGTAGCAGCGGCGGCGGCGGCAGAGGCAACTGCGGCAGCAGCAGAGGCTGCAGCGAATGCAGTGGCAGCAGAATCAGAGGCAGCGGTAGGGGCAGCACAGGTTGCAGCAGCAGCAGAAGCAGAGACAGCAGCAGAGGCAGAGGTAACAGTGGCTGCAGCAGCAGCAGCGGCAGAGGCAGAGGAGGCAGTGGGAGAAGCTGCGGCAGATGCAGCATTAGCGGCAGAACGAGAAGCAACAGCAAAAGCTGGGATAGCAGCAGCAGCTGCAGCAGAGGCAACTGCAGAATCAGAAGCTGCAGCAGCAGCGGAAGCAGGGGCAAAAGCAGCTGCAAAGGCAGCAGCAGAGGCAGACGCTGCAGCAGAAGCAGAGGCAGCAGCAGCAGAGTCTGCAAGAACAGGCGAAACTGTTGCAGCAGCACAGGCAGCAGCAGCATCAATGGCAAAAGCTGCAGCAGAATCAGAGGCAGCAGCAGCAGCAGCAGAGGCTGCAAGAGCAGCAGAAGCTGCAGCTGAAGCAGAGGCAGCAGCAACAACAGAGGCTGCTGCTACAGCAGCAGCAGCAGAGGCTGCAGCCGTGGCACTGGCAGCAGCTGCAAATGCTTCAGCAGAAGCAGAGGCAGCAGAGGCAGCAGCGGCAGCAGCAGCAGCAGAGGCTGCAAGAGCCGCAGAAGCCGCAGCTGAAGCAGAGGTAGCAGCAACAACAGAGGCTGCTACAGCAGCAGCGGTAGCAGCAGTGGCAGAGGCAACTGCAGCAGCAGCAGTAGCTGCAACTAAAGCAGAAGCTGCAGGAGCAACAGAAGCTGCAGCAGCAGCAGAAGCAGAGGCAGCAGCAAAGGCAAAGGCTGCTGCTGCAGCAGAGGCAGCAGCTGAGGTTGCAGCAGCAGCAGAGGCTGCATCAGTAGCACAGGCTGTAGCAGCAGCGGCAGAGGCAGCAGTAGCAGCAGAGGCGGCTGCTGCAGCAGAGGCTGTAGCAGCAGCAAAGGCAGCAGCAGCAGAAACTGCTGCTACTGCTGAAAACCCCACTGCTGTTGTAGTTATTTCCTCGGCCACTGCCATTGCAGGCGCTGCCACTGATGCTGCCACTGGTGCTGCCACTGGTAGCACCATCATCACCACAGAAACTTCAGCAGCAGAAACCGCTGCTGCTGCTGAAAGCACCACTGCTGTTGGTGGTAGTTTCACTGCCACTGCCATTGCAGGTGCTGCCACTGTTGGTGCTGCCACTGCTGGTGCTCCCACTGCTGGTGCTGCCACTGCTGGTGCTGCCATTGCAGGTGCTGCCACTGATGCTGCCACTGCTAGCACCTTCATCACAACAGAAACGTCAGCAGTAGAGATCATTACTACCGTTACAAGCACCACTGCTGGTGCTGCTAGTTCCACTGCCACTGCTGGTGCTGCCACTGATGCTGGCATTGCTAGCACCATCATCACCACAGAAGCTTCAGCAGTAGGACTCCCTGCTACCATTGAAAGCATCACTGCTGGTGGTGCTATTTCCACTGCCACCGCTGGTGCTGCCACTGATGCTGGCACTGGTAGCACCATCACCACAGAACCTTCAGCAGCACCAACCGCGGCTACTGCTGGTGGTAGTTCCAATGCCAATGCCATTGCAGGTGCTGCCACTGGTGCTGCCAATGATGCTGCCACTGGTAGCACCATCATCACCACAGAAACTTCAGCAGCACAAACCACTTCGAAATCTGGAGCAGCAAAGGCAGCAGCAGCAGAAACCGCTGCTACTGTTGAAAGCGCCACTGCTGCTGGTGGCGCCACCGCTGCTGGTGGCGCCACCGCTGCTGCTGTTGCTGCGGCCGCTGCTGAAAACACTGCTTCTGTTGGTGCTGAGACGGAAAGCGTCATCATTGCAGAAACTAGAGCAGAAGAAACCACAGAAGCCATTTCGAAGTCTGGTTCGGAAGCTGCATCACCAGCTCTTTCAGACGTTCCTGGTTTTGACGCTCGGTCGAAATCGGGCCCTCTGGATAAGCTAGGCATTCCCAAGAGTTGGAGCGGAACAGCACTGAGCGCCACAGGCAGCAGAGCAGCAAGCAGCATGTCAAAATCTGGCCCGCTCAGCCTCACAGGAGAACCTGTGGGTGGGGCTGAGTCGCCTGGTGGGGGGAGTTCTGAGGGATCCCCATGGAACGAAGGATTTCCTGGTAGTGCCTTTGGTAAATCCAGAAGTAAAGGGTCTGTGGCAGGGACAGGGGCAGGGGCAGGGGCAGGGGCAGGGGCAGGGGCAGGGGCAGGGGCAGGGGCAGGGGTGGAGAAGTCAAGCAAGTCGATGGCTTCAACCGTGTCTTCCATGTTCCGATCGATTTCTCTCAACCCGTCGCGCCGCCGGGCGAGTGTGGGAGTGAGCAGCAAGAGCGGCAGCAAAAGCAGCAGCAGCGGCAGCATCCCTATTGGTGAGGACACGAGCATCACCAGCAGCACCACCACCACTAGCATCACCAGCACAACCGCCACCAGCGTTGTCAGCAGCACTGGCACCAGCATCACCAGCAGCAGTGGCAGCAGCTCAGGAGGCACAGAGACAGCAGCCCAGAAGAGGGTGCGTTCATCTATTTCCCTCAAGCTTGGCTCAACGGACCTTCTGAGCAAGCGAGGGGGAAGCGGGGCAGCAATAATCAGCCCAGGTGCCAGCACAGGAGGAGGAAGTGGGTTGTTTGGATTCGGCAGTGGGCAGAAACAGGGGAAGGGGAAAGGGAAGGGGCAGGGGCAGGGGCAGGGGCAGGGGCAGGAGCAGGAGCCTGAGAGTCCGAGCAGTTTACCCAGCCCTATGTCGGCTCCTGCCACTCCGGCCGCCCAGAGGAGGAGGCTTAGCTTCTTGTTCGACATTGGGCGGCCGGTTTTGTCCCCTGTGATAGAGCCGGATCGGCCGGAGGAGATCACGACTAGCTCAGGGTTGGTGCTGGGGGGCGGCCAAGGGGGAGAGGAAGCGCCAGGCGAAGGGAAAGGGGCTACTTTTGAGGCGCCTCAAAAGCTGGGGGGGGGAGGCCAAGGGGAAGAGGAAGCGCCAGGCGGAGGGGAAGGGGCAGACGAAGAGGAAGTGGCAGGAGGGGCGGAAACTACAGGGGGAAGGGAAGGGGCAGGGGGAGGGGAAGAGGCAGGGGAAGGGGAAGTGGCAGAGGGGAGGGAAGGGGCAGGGGGAGGGGAAGGGGTTGAGGGAGGGGAAGGGGGGAAGCGTGGGGGAGAAGGAGGGCTTGGCGCTTTTTCTGGTGCTGTCGCTGAAGCTAAGACGGGATATGGAATTGAAGGGCTTAGCGTTGCTTCCGGTGATGTTGCCGAAGGTGAAACTGAATATAGAGCGGAAGGGCTAAGCGCTGCTTCTGGTGTTGGTGCTGAATCTAAGACTGGGTATAGAAGTGAAGGGCTAACTGTTGCCTCTGGTGCTGTTGCCGAAGGTAAGACTGAATACAGAACTGAAGCGATTAGCGTTGCTTCGAGTGCTTTTGCTGAAGCTATGACTGAGTATGGAACTGACGGGCTAAGCATCGCTTCTGGTGCTGGTGCTGGTGCTGGTGCTGGTGCTAGGGCTAGTGCTGGTGCTGGTGCTAGGGCTAGTGCTGGTGCTGGTGCTGGTGCTGAAGCTAAGACTCAATATGCAACCAAATCTGGTGACCTCTCTGGTCCCAACGCTGGTGGTGCTGATGCTGTGGCTGCAGCAGCAGCAGTAGCGGCAGCAGTGACGGCACAGGCAGCCATGGCAGCAGCAGAGGTAGCAACAAGAGGAGAAGCTGAAGCAGCAGCGTTTGAGGCAGAAGCAGCGGGAGAGATAGCAGCAGCAGCAAAGGCGGCGGCGGTGGCAGAAGCAGCAGCAGCAGGAGAGAATGCAGCGGCAAGAGAGGCCGCAACAGCAGCAGAGGCTGCAGCAGCAGCAGAGGGGGCAGCAGCAGCAGCTAACGCGGCAGCAGCTGCAGCAGAGGGAGCAGCAGAGGGAGATGCCTCTGAAGCAGCCGAAGCTGCAGCAGAGGCAGAGGCAGCCGCAGCAGCAGGAGCAGCAGCAGTGGAAGAGGCTTCATCAGCAGCAGCGGCGGCTGAAGCAGCTGAAACAGAAGCTTCAGCAGCAATAGGGGCAGCGGTGGCAGTAGAGGCAGCCGCAGCATCAGAGACAGGAGCAGCAGGGGAGGCTGCAGCAGTAGCAGATGCAGCAGCCTTAGCAGCGGCGGCAGCAGCAGTTGCAGAAGCAGCAGCAGAAGCTGGGGCAGCAGAAGCAGAAGCAGAGGCAGCAGCGGCGGCAGACGTGGCAGCAGCGGCAGTAAGGGGCACAACAATGGCGGAAGAAGCTGCAACAATAGCAGAAGCAGAGGCAGCAGCATTGGCAGATGCAGCCACAGCTGCAGAGGCCGCAGCAGTGGAAGAGGCAACAGCAGAAGCAGAAAGAGAGGCAAGAGCAGCAGCAGAGGCAGTGGCGAAGGCAGAGGCTGCAGAAAAAGCTAAAGCCGAGGCAAGAACAGCAGCAGAGGCAGCAGCAAAAGCAGAGGCTGTAGCGAAAGCAGAAGCAGAGGAAAGAGCAAAGGCAGAGGCAGCAGCAATGGCAGAGGCTGCAGCGAAAGCAGAAGCAGAGGCAAGAGCAGCAGCAGAGGCTGCAACTAAGGCAGAGGCTGCTGCATTAGCCGAAGCAGAGGCAAGAGAAGCAGCAGAGGCAGCAGCAGCGGCGGAGGCCGCAGCAAAAGCAAAAGCTGAGGCAAGAGCAGCTGCAGAAGCAGCAGCTAAGGCAGAGGCTGCTGCAAAGGCGGAAGCAGAGGCAAAAGCAGCAGCAGAGGCAGCAGCAAAAGCAGAGGCTGCAGCGAAAGCAGACGCAGAGGCAAGAGCAGCAGCAAAGGCAGAGGCAGAGGCAGCAGCGAAAGCAGAAGCAGAGGCAAGAGCAGCAGCAGAGGCAGCAGCAAAGGCAGAGGCAGAGGCAGCAGCGAAAGCAAAAGCAGAGGCAAGAGCAGCAGCAGAGGCAGCAGCAAAGGCAGAGGCTGCAGCGAAAGCAGAAGCAGAGGCAAGAGCAGCTGCGATGGTTGTGGCAGTTCCACACTCCACCACTCGCCCTCACTCTCGCCGGCACGACAGACTAGCAAATGGAAAGAAGCAGGGCGGGCGAGGGAGAGGAGGCAGGGGAGGGGCAGGGGGGGGGGCTGGTTGGGGGAGCGGGGCGGGCAGTGGTTGCAATTGCAGGGGGGTTGTTCCTGCTGGCGATTGGGGCTACTATTGGCAACTCGGGCCGGCAAAACAGAAGGCAGAAGAAACCGCTGTACCATGAGGTGCGTTTGGGGCATAATGAGGGCTGGTTGGGAGCAGGGTAGGGCGGGCAGTGGTTGCAATCGCAGGGGGGCTGTTCCTGCTGACACGGCAGGCAGGCAGAACAGAAGGCAGAAGAAACCGTTGTACCATAATGGCATGGGGAGGGGTGGTTGGGGGGATAGGGCGGGCAGTGGTTGCTAATGCAGGGGGCTGTTTCTGCTGGCGATTGGGCTTACCATTGGCAACTTTGTCCTCTCTGCCCTCTCTGCCCTCTCTGCCCTCTCTGCCCTCTCTACCCTCCCTCCCCTCCCTGCCGCTCCCTGCCCCTCCCTGCCCCTCCCTGCCCCTCCCTGCCCCTCCCTGTCCCCCCTGCCCCTCCCTGTCCCCTCCCTGCCCTCCATGCCCCTCCGTGCCCCTCCATGCCCCTCCGTGCCCCTCCGTGCCCCTCCGTGCCCCTCTCTGCCTTCACCTCCCCAGGTGGAAGCAGGCGACACCATGTGTGGAATCGTTGACCGCTACTGCGTGCGAGTGGAGGCAACAAAAGAGGCAAACCAGGAGGGTTGACGGGGAACCCCTCGCATGATCCCTGCCCTTCTTGCCCCCCCTGCCCTCTCCCTGTCCTCCTCTCCTTCCCCTACACCACCCCCACCTCCCCAGGTGGAAGAAGGCGACACCATGTGTGGCATAGCTGATCGCTACTGCGTGCGAGTGGATGCAATGAAAGAGGCGAACCAGGAGGGGCTAGTGGAAGATCCAGATGTGATCTTCCCAGGAGACCTCCTCGTGGTTCCCCCCAAGGAATGATGAAGCAGAGCAGCCGCTTCTTATACCAGGTGTGTTTTGAAAACTCAAAACACACCAAGATCCAGATGTTATCTTCCCTGGAGACCTCCTCGTGGTTCCCCCCAAGGAATGACGAAGCAGAGCAGCCTCCTCCTCTTCTTCTTCTTCATTCCAACGTAATCCCCCGCTGCCTTTTTGCCTCCCCAAGAGGGGCTGGTGGAAGATCCAGACGTGATCTTCCCAGAAGACCTCCTCGTCGTTCCCACCAAGGAATGACAAGGCTGCCACCTGCCTGCCACCTGCCTCCTGCCTGCCTCCTGCCTCCTGCCTGCCTCCTGCCTGCTTCCTGCCTCCTGACTGCCTCCTGCCTGCCACCTGCCTCCTGCCTCCTGCCCCTCTCCAACGTAAACCCTCCCTGCCTTTTGAGTCGACTCAAACTCCCCTCTCCAACGTAAACCCTCCCTGCCTTTTGAGTCGACTCAAACTCAAAAGTCTCATCTTCCATTCATCTTGGAATTCCTCCCAGAAAAGCCCCTCCACATTCCCACTACTTCAATGCAAAGCAGCCTTGAATATTTCTCAACTCCTCTCCCTGCCCTCCCCTCTCTTCCTCTCTTCCTCTCTTCCCTTCTATTCCCCAGGTGAGACCTGGTGACACTGTGTGTGCCATTGCTGACAAGTACTGCCTTCACCCCGACACGGTGATTGACGCAAACGAGGGCAGGATGGCCAAGGACCCTGATATGATTTTCCCCGGCGATTTGATCTTCATTCCCAAATGATTTCTCTGGCAGTTTGTTGAAATAACGGTGGTTGTCTTTATGTAGTTTTCGTGGCACCCGAGTGCAAGGAAATATGATTTTCCTTGCTGGTGTTTGCAGTAGCAACATTGTGCTAGCGCGGGGGTTACCCTTGTGTGCTTGTGAGTTGATTTTTTAGGCGCCTCAAAAATCAACTCTTTGCAGTAACAACATTGTGTTTGCGTGGGAGGGAGTTACTCTTGTGTGCTTGCGAGGGAGCAATGAGGTGCATGGGGCTGTTTTACATAGGAGAAAAAAAGTGACAGGTTGATTATATAGTTTTATTTATTATACTGGAATGGAGTGTAGCTTCACTCCTTTAATGACCTGCTCCTCTGTTAGCGAGTACAGAGCATCCATAAGGCCCACCCTCAGGGACCCAGGGCCTTGGACGCCTGGTGCTGCTGATGCCACTTCAGATGCGAGCCTGAATACCCAAGGGAGGAAGGACGAGGGGAGGAAATAGAATGAGGTTTAGCTTCACTCCTCCAGTAACCTGCTCCCCTGTTAAACGAGTACAGAGCATCCATGAGGCCCACTCGCAGGGACCCAGAGCCATGGACGCCTGGTGCTGCTGATGCCACTTCAAATGCGAGCCTCAATACAGAGATAAGGTAGGTTGGAGAAGGGAGACGAATAGTGATACAGAACGACCCGAGGCCGTAGGTACCAATAGCACAGGTCATGGGAAGGAGAGGCGGAGATACAGAAGCACCCGAGGCAAGAAAGGGAGCACCGTGATGAGCAGAAGCTTAGTCCGCAGCAGCAGAAATGCGGTGACTTTTGAGTCGACTCAAAAGCAGCAGAAATGCAGCAAGGCAGCAATGAGAGCAGTGAGGTTGCAGCCATTGGCAGTGATAGCTTGAAGAAGAGAGAAGTGATTTACGAAAAACAGAGAGGAGGAAACAGAGAGGCGAATTAACCGTAAACAGCAAGAGCACAGGCCGTGGCGAGGAGAGGCGGTGACACATCATCATCATCATCATCATCATCATCATCATCATCATCATCATCATCATCATCATCATCATCATCATCATCATCATCATCATCATCATCATCATCATCATCATCATCATCATCATCATCATCATCATCATCATCATCATCATCATCATCATCATCATCATCATGATCATGATCATGATCATCATGATCATCATGATCATCATGATCATCATGATCATCATGATCATCATGATCATCATGATCATCATGATCATCATGATCATCATGATCATCATGATAATCATCATGATCATCATGATCATCATGATCATCATCATCATCATCATCTATCAATCATCATCATCATCATCATCATCATCATCATCATCATCATCATCATCATCATCATCATCATCATCATCATCATCATCATCATCATCATCATCATCATCATCATCATCATCATGCATCATCATCATCATCATCATCATCATCATCATCATCATCATCATCATCATCATCATCATCATCATCATCATCATCATCATCATCATCATCATCATCATCATCATCATCATCATCATCATCATCATCATCATGATCATCATCATCATCATCATCATATCATCATCATCATCATCATCATCATCATCATCATCATCATCATCATCATATCATCATCATCATCATCATCATCATCATCATCATCATCATCATCATATCATCATCATCATCATCATCATCATCATCATCATCATCATCATCATCATCATCATCATCATCATCATCATCAGCATCAGCATCAGCATCAGCAGCAGCAGCAGCAGCAGCAGCAGCAGCAGCAGCAGCAGCAGCAGCAGCAGCAGCAGCAGCAGCAGCAGCAGCAGCAGCAGCAACAAAGGCAGTGATGAGAGCAGTGACGCTGCAGCCTGTGGCGGTGATGGCTTGAAGGAGAGGCACCCCGTTGTGACACGCAAGAACGGCGTGAGTCGTGGCAGTGCTGGCTTGCAGCAGAGGGGGCTGGTCTAAGAAAAGCAGAGGGAAGGAGTGTAGACGAATTACCCGTAAACAGCGAGAGCACAGGCCGTGGCGAGAAGAGGCGGTGACAGATCCGCATCCGAAGCAGGACCATGACCATCAGCAGCAGCAACAAAGGCAGTGATGAGAGCAGTGACGCTGCAGCCTGTGGCGGTGATGGCTTGCAGGAGAGGCACCCCGTTGCCACACGCCAGCATGGTGTGGCCGTCTGTGGTGAAATCCGTTGCTCCTGACACTGCCACCACTGTCCCTCCCTGCGATGCCAGTTGTTGTGCTGCCGCCACTGCTGCTGTTGATGCTACTGTGCTGTCTACCCCCTGGTGGGGAGGATGTGTGGGGGGGTGGGGAGAGGAAGGAGAAGCAGGGGACGAGTTCTGTTGCTCCCGACACTGGGAGGAAAAAGCGAACAGAGAGGGGAAGGAGTGGCACCCCGTTGTGACACGCCAGCACGGTGCGACCGTCGGTGATGAAATCCGTTGCTCCCGACACTGCCACCACTGTTTTCCACTCTGCTGCCAGCTGCTGTGCTGCCGCCACTGCTGCGGTGGATGCTACCGTGCTGTCTACTCCCTGAGGAGAAGGGTGGGGTTGGGGAGGAAGGAGAGGCAGGGGAGGAAGGAGAGGCAGGGGGTGAAGGAGAGGCAGGGGGTGAAATCTGTTGCCTCCAACACTGCCACCACTGTCCCCCACTATGATGCGAGCTGCCGTGCTGCTGCCACTGGTGCTGTTGACGCTACCGTGCTGTCTACCCCCTGGTGGGGAGTGTGGGGAAGAAAGGAGAGGCCAGACATAAAGTCAGTTGCTCCCGACACTGCCACCACTGTTAACCGCTCTGATGCCAGCTGCTGCGCTGCCGCCACTGCTGCTGTTGATGCCACTGTGCTGTCTACCCCCTGGTGGGGGGTGGGGGGTGGGGGGTGGGGTGTGGGGTGTGGGGGAGGAAGGAGAAGCAGGGGCGGAAGGAGAAGCAAGGAATTGAGTCTGCTGCTCCCGACACCGCCACCACCACTGTCACTCTGATGCAGCGTCACTCTGATGCAAGCTCCTGTGCTGCTGCTTCTGCTGCTGTAGATGCTACCGTGCTTTCTACCCCCTGGTTGTGCGTTGGGGGGGAGAATAGGGGAGTAGAAAGGAAAGTGGAAGGTGCAGTTACAAACGGTTTGAAACATATGAGATTTTTTTTTTTTTTTTTTTTTTTTTCAGTTGAATGAAGAATCGCCTCGGTACCTACCTCCTTAGCACACAACAGATGTTAAAGTTGGCCTACCCGGGTGTTCGCGCTGATGGTGCTTGCCAGAAAAAGCAGTTCCACATTCAACCAAAACACCAGAACTCCCCCCAAATACCCCACCTCCCCCCCCCCCCCCCCCCAGAAAAAGAGAAAAAGCACACAACAGAATGTTGGGGTTTGGCCTACCCGGGTGTTTGCGCTGACGGCGCCTGCCAGAGCAAGCACTTCAGATGCGTTCCCTCTCACCACCGTTGGTCGCAGTGCCAGGAGCTCCGCCGAGGTCTGTGAGAGAGGGTGGAGGTGAGTGGGAAGGGGTGAGAGACGGTGAGAAGAGGTGAGAGATGAGAAACGGATAGCGATAGAGATGGAGGTTGCTTGGGTGTGCGTAAAGGAGGAAAGGCAGGCGAGAATAGGCAGCAGAGGAAAGGCAGGTGAGAACATCAAGCCTACCTTGGTTCGGCAAGAATGAGCCTATCTAGGTTCGGCGAGAATGAGCCTACCTTGGTTCGGTGAGAACGAGCCTACCTTGGTTCGGTACGTCGTGGCACCGCAACCCACAGGGTCCAGGACCCACGGCGATTCCGGGCAGAAATAACATTGGCTGCCCGTTTCATGGAGTCCACCCAATTGGGGCTCAGGGTGCCAATGTTGACATAGAGCGCCGATGCCAGGCTGGCAAATTCCTCCACCTGGCGGCTTGAGGAGGAGAATGGGGGAGAAAGAGAAGGGGGAATGGGGAGGGGAGGGGTGGTGGGGAGATGTGGTGGGGGTTTGGGGGAGGAAAGGACAGGGGGAGGTGTGGTGTGGGTGTGACTTTTGAGAATTCTCGAAGGTGTAACACCAATACGGTGTGAGTGTGGGAATGTTTCCTGGGAAAATCCTCCACTTGCGGGGCTCGAGGGGGAAGGGAGAAAGGGGGAGGGGGAAGGGGGAAGGGGGCAAGAGGGGGAAGGGGAAAGGGGGAGGGGGAAGAACAGCGCACCTCTTCTAGAGAATGCACCCATGGCCGGCGCGGCGCCAGCGGCGAGGAGGGTATTAGCAGCGGCATCCATGGATACGAAGTTGGTGATGCAGTGAATCAGAGGCCGGCTCGCGCGCACCGCTACCAGCGCCTTCCACGCCGCTGCTGCCAACGCCGGGTCGCCACCCGCGGGAAGCGGCTCGTCGCCCCCTGCTGCCGCGCGTGCCGCCGCTGTTCGCGGCGATGAGCGGATCCGTGCGCGGGAAGGTGCCCCGCGGAGGGGCGCGCGGGGGAGGACGCATGGGGAAGTGGTGAGGCGCGACACTTGCGGGTGGAATGCGCGCAAATGTGAGGGGGAAGGTGGAAACTTGCGGAGGTAACGTAAGAGACGGGACGGCAGAGTTGATGTGGGTGGCGACGAACGAAGGCTGAAGACCAATCGCCATGAATGTGTTCAGAGTTCGCGCAGACAAAAAATCACCAAATAAAGCACCAGGACCTACAAAAATCGCTGTGAATGGTATCGAGTCGGAAAGCGAGCCGTTCTATATTATCCTGACAGCAAAGCAGTAGTCATTTCAAGCTGGTGATGTTGTCAGATGGGGGCAATTCCCAGGATCAGAGGGGTTCGTTTCCTCCTCAAAATCACACCGAACCGTTTTGAAGGTTTACAGAAAACGCTTTTACTTGGTAGGAACCACTTTGAACCGCACGAAAGCCTGTCGCGATTTCGGATTTGGATTCAACAGACCATTCCGTGGAGCAGTTTCGCATTTGCTTCGCAATGAAAAATGAAAGTGACGAGAAGCCAAATTCGTTTCGCGCAAGGTTACCAGATTCATTCTGGTAACTTTGGTACCTCGTAAATTCTCATTTCATTGGTGGCTACAAGTTTCGTCGCCACAGCCAAAATCCGTCGTAGTCGCAGAACCTTGGGATTCCCGCCACTCTCGATAGAAGAAACCCCTTCACTATCAAAGTTTCCGAGCCTCCTCATCCGCGAATCAGGCTTCGATATAAGCACGCTGGCCAGCTTCCCCAAATTCCGAAATCCTGACTTCTTTCAATGGTCCTTTTTTTCTCACGTCCTCCTTTCTCCCTAATCATCGCCGTTTCAGGCGGCGTTGTTCAAGGATAAGTGCAGGTATCCCTTTTTTTTCCTCTGTAATCCGTTTCGCTAAGGTTCGCATGTCGCGATCGCCTGCCTGCAGTTGAGCCAATGCGCTGCTTATCCAACCAGTTTTTGCCAGGTCAGCTTTCTGCTTTTCCTGGCATGTGTAGTTGGTGACCTAGAATGTACCATGGTCTTCCCAGTCGTGTTTATTCCTCATCATCTGAATCGTTTTTGCTTTTCTGTCACCGTCATTAATTGCATTGGGATCACCAAACCTCGCTCCAAACACTACCTCCGTAAGCGTAAAAAAGCGTTTCGTACCTCTCCGGATTCAAATCAGTCGAACCCTTATCAAACTTGCTCCTCCTTTTTCCTTCCATACCGCCCCTGGCTTCCCTTCGCGTACTGTCACGCTGGCTACAATCACATGTCGCAGTGGTAACTCCTTGCCTTCGCTGCTTCGGCTCCTACGGGCGGATTTCGTCCTTTCCGCAAGTTGCCGCTGCTCCCGCGGTTCTCCGCATTTCCGCGGCCCCCGCGGTTCTCTGCCACTCCGCCTCCGCTTCCAATTCGGCCTCCGCCTTCAACCCCCGCAGCAGAACCCTCGCCTTGGCGTTCCGCGAACCCTCTACTCTGCGCAAATCGCAGCACCTGTACAGCGGTTCGCGAAGCCTTTGCGAAACTCAACGAGCGTGATAGCGATGCGAGCGAATTCTGCAGCAGCGGCGGCTGAGCGGTTAAGACGATGGAATCAGCGACCAGAGAAGGTGGGCAGAGAAGGAGGGCAGAGAAGGAGTGGGAAAGGGAGGAGTGAGAGGGGGAGGAGCGAGAGGGAGGTGTTTTGGATTGGGTTCATGAGTTGTAATCCGATTCAACAGTCGAGAGTTTGTAACTGGATTCACGTCAACCGATTTTTTCAACCTAAACGCAACCTCCGTCCATTTCCCCTCCTCCCCGCTGCACCCCCCTCTCCCCTCTCTCCCCCCCCTTCTTTCCCCCGCCCCTTCCCCCGCTCGTTTTCTCTTACCTCTTTCAAACCGCTCCTCCCCCTTACCTTTCCCCTTCTTCCTCGCACTCCCCTCTCGTCTTTTTCTGCCCGTCAGGGGCAGGAGGGCAGCGTGCGTGACCTGGTAGCCCAGCTCGTGGCGCAGTCTCTGGCGAAAACATTTCCCGACCTGCCCGATCTGGAGCCGCTGGTTACCACGTGTAACAACCCCAAGTTCGGGGACTACAATGGTGCGTCTTCTCTGCTTGTTGTTCTGCTTTCACACGCTGCAACGGTTATTACCAGCCGTTTCTTTTCTAAGTCCGTCTGTTGCTTCCAGGGCTGTTTCTGTCCATCCGTCCATGTGTGACGGTGTTTTACTGTCTGTCAGTCTTGACTTTTGAGTCGGCTCAAAAGTCCAACTCATGAGTCGACTCAGAAGTCGTCCATGTGTGACAGCATTTTACTGTCTGTCCGTCTTGACTTTTGAGCCGGCTCAAAAGTCAACTCATGAGTCGACTCAGAAGTCGTCCATGTGTGACAGTATTTACTGTCTGTCCGTCTCTCTTCGCCGTTTTGACGTTCCCTTCCCCATTTGTGCATGCAGCAACAACGCCATGGGCATCTGGTCGCGCATCAAGGGCTCCACCACTGACTTCAAGAACCCCAACGCCATTGGCCAGGTGAGAGTGGGTGTGTGCTAGTTCATGCGCATGTTTGGGTGGGAGTTAGCTGCGGCCCCATGAGTGTGTGCGTGTTTGGCAGCAGCAGCAACGCCATTGTCAGCAGCAGCATTACTACGTTACGACGCCATGGGCATCTGGGCGCGCATCAAGGGCTCCACCACCGAGTTCAAGAATCCCAACGCCATCGGCCAGGCGAGAGCGTGGGTGTGTGTTCATGTGCAGCGTTGGCTGCACCAACGCCATTGGCAGCAGCAACGTTACGACCTCACATCGCCATGGGCTGGGCGGGCATCAAGGGGTCCACCACCGAGTTCAAGAACCCCAACGCCATTGGTCAGGTGAGAGGTTCAGGGTCCTGGGCGAATTGTAGGTATATATTACTGGCAGTTGAATGATCGAACCATTCTCACTCTCCAGTTGTAAGATATCTGACAACAATCAACCCTCCACTGAGTTCAAGAACCCCAACGCCATTGGTCAGGTGAGAGGTTCAGGTCCTGGGCGAATTGTAGGTATATATTACTGGCAGTTAATGATCGAACCATTCTCACTCTCCAGTTGTAAGATATCTGACAGCAATCAAACCCCCCTTGTACCTGGTGCCCTCTGCCTTTCCATCTCCTTCCCCCCCCTTCCCTGCTTTCCACCTTCATGGGCGATCGCCAAGAACCTGCCGCTCTCTTCGATGCTGGAAAAGACGAGCATTGCCGGCCCGGGCTTTGTGAACACCGTCCTCCTGACCCAAGCCTGGCTGGAAGAGCACGTGTCTGGCGTCTTGAAGGGCGCTGGCATCGCTGCGTGGGCTCCCAAACTGCCTTTGGCGCGGGCGGTGGTGGACTTGTCGTCGCCCAACAATCAAAGCCCAGCCTTTCCAAGAAAACCAAACAGGAATCAAACATCCCGAATCCTTGTCATCCCCGTGTCTCCACCTTCCCTCCCCTCCTTTCCAGGCAATCGCCAAGAACCTGCCGCCCTCCCCGATGGTGGAAAAGACGAGCATTGCCGGCCCGGGCTTCGTGAACATCGTGCTGACGCAAGCCTGGCTGGAAGAGCACGTGTCTGGCGTCTTGAAGGGCGCTGGCATCGCTGCGTGGGCTCCTAAACTGCCTGTGGCGCGGGCGTGGTGGTGACTTCTCGTCGCCCAACATCGCCAAGGAGATGCACGTGGGACACCTGCGGTCGACTATTATTGGGGATACGCTGGCCAGGATGCTGGAATACTGCCATGTGGAGGTTCTGCGGAGGAACCATGTCGGCGACTGGGGCACTCAGGTAGGCCGGGAGAGGGTGTCTTTGGGGTTCGGATCCCAGTATTTCAGGGTTTCGGGTTTTGGGTTTTCGGGTTGAAGGGTGGGTTTGCGCGCCCTGGCTACCTGCCTGTGGCGCGGGCGGTGGTGGATTTCTCGTCGCCCAACATCGCCAAGGAGATGCACGTGGGGCACCTGCGCTGCGGTCCACCATCATTGGTGACACGCTGGCCCGCATGCTCGAGTACTGCCACGTGGAGGTCCTTAGGAGGAACCACGTCGGCGACTGGGGCACCCAGGTACAACCAGGGTTTGGGGTTTAAGGGGAGGGGAAAGGGGATGCTCGAGTACTGCCACGTGGAGGTCCTCAGGAGGAACCTTGTGGGCGACTGGGGCATCCAGGTAGGGCGAGGGGGTGTCTGGGGATTGGGTCGGGGCTTGGGTTTAGGATGGAGCAGGATTTAAGATTTAGAAAATCTTTCCCCCCCACTCCCCTCCTACCCCATGCACTTTGGCATGCTCATTGGATATCTATTCGACAAGCTCCCCAACTGGGAGACCGTGGGCGAGCAGGCAACAATAGGCGACCTGCAGGTGTTTTACAAGGCACTTACTAGCATGCTCTTGGGCTTATCCACTCCCCCATTCCCCATTCCCCATTCCCCATTCCCCATTCCCCACTCTGCTCCTTCAACAACCATGCAGTTTGGCATGCTGATCAAGTATCTATTCGACAAGTTCCCCGACTGGGAAACCATCGGCGATCAGGCAATTGGCGACCTGCAGGTGTTCTACAAGGCGGCCAAGAAGCGATTCGACGAGGACGCCGAGTTCAAGGAGAGGGGTGCTGCTCACTACCCTCCTGCCATTCCTCCCTTCCGTTTCGACTCCCCTTTTCCCCTCCCTCCCGCCCCGCTCCCTTCACTTCCCTCCCTCCTGTTGTCTTGTCTGTGTCACGTCAGTTTGGCATGCTGATTGAATACCTGTTCGACAAGTTCCCTGACTGGGAAACCATTGGCGATCAGGCCATCGGAGATCTCCAAGTCTTTTACAAGGCGGCCAAGAAGCGCTTTGATGAGGACGCAGAGTTCAAGGAGAGGGCGCAGAGGGCGGTGGTGAAGCTGCAGGGAGGGGGAGGAGGAGTACCGGAAAGCGTGGGCCAAGATCTGTGACGTCAGCAGGAAGGAGTTCGATCTGGTTTATCAGCGGCTGGGCATCAAATTAGAGGAGAAGGTGAGTTTGGGTTGGGTTGACGGCGCTTCACCTCTCAGTTCGAACAGCACACGCTCGTTCGAACAGGTGAAATGTTACATTTTTCGCCACACCTCGTATGGGTGTTCGTGACGTCGCTAGTCGGAAATTTCGTGAATCTGAACAGAGCTGTCACATGGGGCACGAAGCTCTCCATGCCGCACGTTCGAACAGAGTGTTGTTCGAACAAGTTGGGATTGGTGACAGGGATTCCGCATGGATGATGACTGACTTGATTGGTTTAGGGTCGCACAATATGTTTGCGACCATTGCAAATGTCGCCATGCAGGAGAAAGCTCATCGAAAAGGACATTGTTGTGGGAAACAAGGCGAGCAGTAGTAGTAGACCACGAAGAGACATTTTGACTAAATGGGCGAAAAATGATTAGTCAACTGGAATGGCAGACGACTAAATATTTTTCTTGCGACGTTTCGCGAAGTCGTCCAAGACTTGGCGACGTCGCATGTTCGAACAGGCTGTCTCACTCTCGTCACGAGCTGTCACATTCACCAGGGTGTTCAAATTGTGTTCGGATCTCGTCGGAGAAACTGTTCGTACAGTGAATTCGTTACGTATGTTCGGATATGGGCCTTCCAGCCCCCGAGGGTGATGCCCTGAGAGTGGTTTTTGTTGTGTGTTTGGTTTCTGCTGTTTGACGGCTTGCCTGGTTCCTTCCCGAAGGGGTGGGGATGGATTGTGCTGAATGGGTGTCTTGCCTCAGAGAGACTAGAGAGAGTGAAGGAGGAGAGGCGCAGAGGGCGGTTGTGAAGCTGCAAGGGGGGGAGGAGGAGTACCGGAAAGCATGGGCCAAGATCTGTGACGTCAGCAGGAAGGAGTTTGATCTGGTTTGCCAGCGGTTGGGCATCAAACTCGAGGAGAAGGTGAATGTGGAAGCAGTTTGTGGGCTTGCTGTGTTTGTTTGTGGGGTTGAAAGGGTCTCGTTTTCAGGGTTGGGTGGAGGTCAAGGAGAGGGGGCGATGCAGAGGGCGGTGGTGAAGCTGCAGGGGTGGGGGGGTGAGGAGTACCGCAAGTTATGGGCCAAGGGGGAGAAGAAGGTGGCGTTAAAGGCGAAAGACGTTTTCCCAGCCTGTCTATGATGTTTTTTTCCCCTTCGTTTCCCTCAACCCTCATGCAACGATTTTTGAGGCACCTAAAATTTCGTCCCAGTCTGTCGTTGATGTTTTTCTCCCCTTCGGTTCCCTCTCAACCCTCATGCAACCACCAGGGCGAGTCGTTCTACAACTCGCGCATCCCTGCAGCACAGGAGAAGGTCAAGGGCAGCTGGGCTGGTGGTGGAGAGCGCAGGGGGGAAGTGGGAGGGGTGGAGGGGGAGGCAGAGCAGGACGTTTCCCAGTCTGTCTTTGATGTTTTTCTCCCCTTGGGTTCCCTCTCAACCCTCATGCAACCATGGCGAGTCGTTCTACAACTCGCGCATCCCTGCAGCGCTTGAGAAGCTCAAGGCGGCCGGGTGGTGGTGTGCGAGAGCGAGGTGGGGGCGCAGTGCATCTTTGTGAGGGCCACAAGGTGCTCGATCATCCTGCTCTGATGGTGCGGGAGGAGATGGGGTCTTTAACTACGCAGACGACTGACCTCACCTGCCTGCTGTGAGTGGATGATGTGAGAGGAGGAAGGGGCCAAGGTGTTTCAAGGTGCTGCTGAGTGAGGATGAGGGGGCAAAGTGCGCTTCGTGGAGGGCCACAAGGTGCCTCTGATCGTGGGTGAAGAGGCGACGGGGGCTTCAAGTATGCACCAACGACCTCACCTGCATGCTGTGAGTTGCTTGGCACGTAATGGTGTGCACTTTGTGGAGGGCCACAAGGCTCCTCTGATCGTGGTGAAGAGGCGACGGGGGCTTCAAGTATGCCACCAACCGACCTCACCTGCCTGCTGTGAGTTGCTTGGCACGTAATGGTGTGCATCTTGGTGGAGGCACAAGGCTCCTCTGATCGTGGTGAAGAGTGATGGGAGGTTCAATTATGCTACTATTGATGACCATACGTTCCTTCTCCTCCCACTCCCCACCCCCCCCCCCCCCCCCCCCCCCCCACACCCCCCCCCAGCTACTGCATAGAGGAGGAGAAGGCGGAATGGGTCGTAAATGGCATCGGTGTCTATCCTCCAGTCCCCTTCTTTTTAATCTCCTTTCCCTTCTCCACCCTCCCTCCCTCTCCCCCCCCTCTCCCCTCCCACCTCCCCCAGCTATCGCATATAGGAGGAGAAGGCGGAGCGGGTCGTTCAAGACATGGACGTTACTCGTCTCTTCCTTTCCGGGCCCCTTCGTTCATCCCCTTCCCCCACTCTCCCCTCCATCTTTCACCAACCCCCTCACAGATACTGCGCAGAGGAGGAGAAGGCGGAGTCGGTTGTCCACGTGACGTGGTGCTTCCTTCGCTTGCTGTGCCTCCCTCGCTTGCTGTGCTCCCTCGCTTGCTGTGCCTCCCTCGCTTGCTGTTGCCTCCCTCGCTTGCTGTGCCTCCCTCGCTTGCTGTGATCCTCGCTTGCTGTGCCTCCTTCGCTTGCTGTGCCTCCTCGCTGCTGTGCCTCCCTCGCTTGCTGTGCCTCCCCGCTTGCGTGCCTCCCTCGCTTGCTGTGCCTCCCTCTCTTGCTGTGCCTCCCTCGCTTGCTGTGTCTCCCTCGCTTGCTGTGCCCTCCCTCGCTTGCTGTGCCTCCCTCCCCCTCCCTCATCTCTCACCTCGCTCTCTCCTCCCCCTGCATTTCCCTCCCTCACAGCTACCGCATAGAGGAGAGAAGGCGGAGTGGGTTGTCTACGTCACGGATGTTGGGCAGTCGCAGCACTTGACATGTTCTTCAAGGTGAGTGAACAAGTTTCTCAAGGTGAGCTGCTAAACATGCTTTAAAACTCCGACAGGTCAGCACTCATGTTGCGCAGTCGCAGCCCTTTGGACATGTTCTTCAAGGTAAGATAGATG